GATATTTGAGAAGTGAAATGAAGTTTATTGGATTTACAGAAAGTGTGCAATAATTGTTTAAACAAAATCAGGCAGGTGCATAAATTTGGGCACTATTGTCATTTTATTGATTCCAAAACCTTTAGAACTAATTATTGGAACTCAAATTGGCTTGGTAAGCTCAGTGACCCCTGACCTACATACACAGGTGAATCCAATAATGAGAAAGAGTATTTAAGGGGGTCAATTGTAAGTTTCCCTCCTTTTTTAATTTTCTTTGAAGAGTAGCAACATGGGGGTCTCAAAACAACTCTCAAATGACCTGAAGACAAAGATTGTTGACCATCATGGTTTAGGGGAAGGATACAGAAAGATGTCTCAGAGATTTAAGCTGTTTCCACAGTTAGGAACATATTGAGAAAATGGAAGACCACAGGCTCAGTTCAAGTTAAGGCTGGAAGTGGCACACCAAGACAAATCTCGGAGAGACAGAAGCGACGAATGGTGAGAACAGTCAGAGTCGACCCACAGACCAGCACCAAAGACCTGCAACATCATGTTGCAGCAGATGGAGTCACTGTGCATCGTTCAACCATTCGGCGCACTTTACACAAGGAGATGCTGTATGTGAGAGTGATGCAGAGGAAGTCTTTTCTCCACCCAATTTTGTGGTGCCCAAATTTATGCACCTGCCTGATTTTGTTTAAACAATTATTGCACGCTTTCTGTAAATCCAATAAACTTCATTCCACTTCTCAAACATCACTGTGTGTCTCCTATATGATATATTTAACTGACATTTTTTATTGTAACAACCAATGATTTATACAGGAAAATAATGACTATTAACAAGGTTGCCCAAACTTTTGCATCCCACTGTATATGGTATTTATGAGACATTTTGTTTAAGGTAATTTTATAGAGAAAAAGAAATGTAATGTGTAGTATAAGTACTTAGTTTCTCCTGGAAGTAATGGTAGTAATGTACTGCATTACTTTTAATAAGAGTGTTCTGTGTAATATGTGTAATATGTTACTCTTTTTACTCTTTTGAGTTATGACCTCAATGCTGATCATAGCATTGAGGTCAGCATGCAAAACCTTTGACCACACAGCATGTAATTAATTTGCACAAATAGATTCATTTGGAGACGGTGGTGACCCTTAAAGCAGAGCCAATGAGAACTCAATGATATCGATAATGGCATCGGAATCACTAAATTCTTATCGATCTCCATTCCTGCTGTCAAATATAAAGAAAGTAAGAGTCAGAGATGAAAAAATAACCTTTTTTCTTAGATTGTCCTTCCCCAGACGCATCTTTGGTCTTCAGCTCCACCTCCACAGGGTAATGGTCACTGATGTCCAGGGTCTTAAAAAGTTGAATGACAACACTCATGGTGTCCTTTAAAATGCTAAAACCTGTCAAATCATTTCTATCTTTGAGCTTAGAAGAAAACTCACCTCCTCATCAGTCAGCTTAAACTCCTGCTGGAAGTTGAAGGACTTGGCCGAGTTGGGGACGATGGCGTTCATCATGGTCTCTCCATACACAACAATTCTGTTTGACAAAGACGAGACGCGTTTCTTTTAAACAGTTAAGAACTTCATTTCTGTCTGTACTTTATAGCGTGAAGCGCCATGTGTTTTATTTCTCCATTTTCTGTCTCAAATTGAAATTCACTGATGCCAATATTATTTCTTATGTGAGAGGCACTCTGAGAAAAAAATCTTTAAAATATTAAGAGTCTGAGACTACATACCTCCACTACAGATATACTGATTTATTTCCTGAATTCCTGCACTTTTTTCACACAAATTTAATGTACACACAAGTAGATTTAATCAGGATTCATGAGTCATCCAGCCTCATGTGCACGTTCTCAATACAGACAAAACAGACAAACTCTGACAAACAAATAACAACTAACTCTTATTTCCTTTTGGTCATTATGCACAATCTTTCAAAACACCAGAAGCAAAGAAATAGAAATTAGAAATATCCCAAAAGGTCGTGCCATTATAAAGTGCTATATGTGTGTCACCTGTCGTAGGTGTTATCATTGTTGTTGCTAGCTGTGGTGTCGACATCGTCATCAATGAGCCAGTTGTAGGAAGAAGAGCAGATGCGAATCTTTTCCTTCTTCTTCTTGGAGAGATATCGTCC